GGGAAAAGGGGGGAACATCTGTAATACTCTTAACAGTAAAGATAAATTTTTTAAAAAGAAAATCATGTTCTTTGACCACAAGGGAATTAAATAGAAATATGTTGGATATTCTCAAATGTCTGAAAATTAAATAACACATTTATAAATACTTCATGGGTCAAACAAGAAATAACAATAGAAAACATTTGAACTAAATAACAAATATGCAATACATTAAAATTCATAAGATACAGCTAAAGCAGTCTCTAAAAGAAATCTTATTTTTTCCATTTTATTCATCTTATTTTGAATTGGGTTCAAAGATTTTTTAAATAATAGCCTAAAAAATACAAACAGTACATTTTATTAACTTTATTTTGCATTGGATTTGAATATTTTTTAAAATATATTTTATTGATCTTTTACAGAGAGGAAGGGAGAGGGATAGAGAATTAGAAACATCGATGAGAGAGAAACATCGATCAGCTGCCTCCTGCACACCCACCACTGGGGATGTGCCCGCAACCAAGGTACATGCCCTTGACTGAAATCAAACCTGGGACTCTCCAGTCCGCAGACCGACGCTCTACCTACTCAGCCAAACCAGTTAGGGCAGGTTTGAATATTTTTAAATGATAGATGTTTACCTTTTTAATTTATCTTTATTGTTGAAAGTATTACAGATGTCTCCCTTTTTCCCATTGACCCCCTCCACCCTGCCCTCTTATAGATTTTTAAATGATAGTTATAGATATTGGAGAGAATAATTGGTCGACCATTGTGGAATAGTCTAATTTGTCCACTCATCTAAAATGGAAGGTTCTGAAAGCCCCAATGATAAAGTATTTTATTGACATTCAGTATTATTTTATACTAGAATCCTGGTGCACAAAATTTGTGCATGGGTTTGGTCCCTAGGCCTGGCCTGCGATCAGAGCCATCTTCCATGGCTGCTGGCAACTGGCCCCACCCTTCAGCAGCCAGCCCCATCCCTCACTGCCACCCACCCCTGGCTCCCCATTCGCCATTGGGCAATTAGAGCCTGTCAGCTGGGGGAAGAGACCAAGAGGTTGGCCATTTCAACCCGCTCGCCAGCCCCAGTCCCTGACGTTGGTCGCCCTCTGTGTGTGGGGCGACTGGCGGGGTGGGGGCCTTGGCCTGGCACCACCCACGTCTGCCACCACCCACCTCCCATTGGGCAATTGGATCCTACTGCTGGGAAAGGGACCAAGAGGTTGGCTGGCAGGCCCCGATAGGTTGATCGAGGCCTGTGTGCTGGGGGCAGCTCCTGTGTTGAGTGTCTGCACCTTGGTGGTTCTGCTGTTCGGTCGATTTGCATATTAGGCTTTTATTATATAGATTAGAGGCCCGGTACATGAAATTCATGTAAGAGTAGGCCTTCCTTCCCCCGGCTGCTGGCACCAGCTTCCCTCTGGCACTCAGGACCTGGGCTTCCCTCCGGCTGCTGGCAGGCACCTGGGACCCGGGTTTCCCTCGCAGCCTGGCTTTATTCAGAAGATCATCCAGAAGGATGTCTGGTGTAATTAGCATATTATGCTTTATTATTATAGATGTTTTGTCATAGGATGGACTATAGATGTCTGGAGCATATAGTCAGCTACAGATTGGATGACAGAAAATTAGAATCAAGAAATGTGACTTTAAGGACTCATATTGTAGCATCTGTGTAAGATAATTTACAAAAGATCACTAAGAAACTTTTTCTGTTATTAAGTATAGATATTTACTCAGTACTGAATATGTACAAGGACCTAAATAATCTCCAGGATTCAAAAGGAGTTTGTGGAGATGTCTTTTCCTAAAGTACTTAAAATTTAGTCAGAGAGATGAGACATTTATGAAACGCAAGTAAAAAATCAAAGAGCACATCTCCTAATTACCTGTGAAAGTATGCCTTATTCTCTAATTCAGAGTAGAAAAAATATCAGAAAAATCAGAGAAAGCCTATCTAATTTTTATTGGGTTATGG